TCCTCCTCCTCCTCCTCCTCCTCCTCCTCCTCCTCCTCCTCCTCCTCTCCCTTCCCTCTCCTGCAGATGGTGGTGGTGGTGGAAGATGGGCCCACCAAGTGATTGTGCAGCCCTGCTCCGCGGGGGCGCGCGACGCGGGCGAGGAAGGCCGCCCCGGTCACCAGCACAGGGCGGCCGCCGTCCCCCCGTGGCCCGCCTGGCCGCAAGTCGGGCCTGTCCCTCCACAGGAGGCATGCCCCCCAAACAGCTTAAGTCGGGGGTGGACAGAACCCCCAACAGTGACACGTCGATTAGTGAATTGTCCGTTTTCGGCTCTCGAGAGGGCGCCGTGGCCGTTATTTTCCAGGCTTGCGCCCGCCGGGTTTGGGCCCGAGGTCGTTTTCACTAAACCACGTTTTGCTAAAGGGGGGTCTGTCCATCCCCGAGAGGCATGCCCCCCAAACAGCTTAAGCAACAACATGGGGACGATCTGTTCGACTGTTTTTGACTACTGCTTATCATTCTTCAGGGGAGCAAGATGTGGCATAAACCTACAAACTCGGAGGTCCGCGCGGATTTCTCGGATCCGCGCTGGACCCCCCTCCCTGGCGCGCGGAGCGCGCCGGGGGGTGCCGGAGGCGCCGCCGGGGGGCCCCAGCGCCGATCCGAGCAATCCGCGCGGACCTCCGAGTTTGTATGTTTATGCCACTTTTTGTTCCCCTATTGTTGCCTAGTGTTCATCATTCCTGTTGATTGTTTCAGAGATCCTCCAACATGCGCCTGTAGGGGACATGCCCGACCTAAATCCTGGCCGCTCTCGACGCGCGCGGCGTGCGCTTTTTTCTCTGTCTGCTGTGCTCCATGGGGGGTGCCCGCGCCATGCCGGCAGCCGCAGCCTCGTGGATGGGTCCTTCGGTGCAGGAGGAGGAGGAGGAGGAGGAGGAGGAGGAGGAGGAGGAGGAGGAGGAGGAGGAGGAGGAGGAGGAGGAGGAAGAAGAGGGGGATAGTCTTTCGGTGCGGGCCGGGCCGGAGTCGCGATCCCCAGGGGTGGCTTCGCAGGTCTCGGTGCGGCTACCAGGGCCCCCCTCCTCCCCAGAGGTCCGACGCATGGACAAAAGTCAAGACGGCCTTTTTTTTCAATTTTCGGACTCTATAGGGCCCTCACCGGGCCCGTGGACCTTTAAAACGACTCAGGATGAGAAGCTGGTCCTGGGGAATGGGTCGACCCTTCCGGGGATCCATGATTGAAAAATCACGACATCAGATCTCTGGGTTCTCTTGGCATCGCTCGGACGTGTGCGTTTTTTTTCGACGACGGCCACCGAGGAGCATCCTGGAGCAGCTGGCTGAAACATAAGCGCACGAGCTCGGGAAATGGACGTCCGAGCGATGGCAGGTCCTCCGCGGGACCTAGATCTCCAGCGATGTGTTTTTTTGTCCAGGATGGGTGGGAGGCTGTGGATGTGGCGCGGAGGCGGGTGCCGCGTCAGGCGCGGCGTCATACAAGGTAATGCCGCTTCTGGTAAGTCCTCCTCCTCCTCCTCCTCCTCCTCCTCCTCCTCCTCCTCCTCCTCCTCTCCGTGGACGAGCGCCCAGGGTGGTGGTGGGCGCACTCACGTTGTCTTCGGAGCCTCCGCCCTGTTGGGTAGGCGCGTCGTGGCCAGATCGCGCAGCAGTTGGTGCTCCGCGCCCCTTCTCTGGAATACTCTCGGGCTTCTCTCTGGGTCTCCGTGGGGCCGCCTCCTCCCACTATCTTTCTCGTCGTCCTCCTCCGTTTGTTCTCACTGTTCCCAGCGTGACCTGATGGCGCTTGCTGCTTTGGGGCGGTCGTGCCCAGGGTTCGTTTCACGCCGAACGCGTTAAGTCGGGCCTGTCCCTCTACAGGCGGGACATTCAAACATAGGAAAGCCCAGCCTGGGGACGATGTCTCTGCAATTTTGCTTATGTTTGAGTCTGGTGTTTTTGATGTTGCCCTCCAACATCCGCTGGTAGGGGGACATGCCCGACCTCACGACAGTGCGAGGGCAGGGTGCAATCTATGTTTTCTGTCGTGGGGCGCTGCTGGGAGCGCGGCGCCGCGCGCGCGACCCCGCGCCGCGGGGTCGCTCTCCCGCGCGGGGCATCTGGGCATCCCGGGGGCCTGGGTGTCCCGAGGGCTCCGAGGGCCCGAGGGTGGGGCAGACCTCGCTCTCCTCCGATCGGCAGGCCCCAGGACGGGGGAGATAGGGGAAGGAGGAGGGGGAGGAGGAGGCGGCGGAGGAGGAGGGAGGAGGAGGAGGAGGAGGGCGGGGGGAATAAGGATGAGGAGGAGTCGTCTGCGGTGGGGCTCAGAGTCTGCATCTCCCCCCCAGGGCACGCTTCCTGGGCGCCTCCGTGGCCCGGGAGCCTCTGGAGGGGTGCCCGCCTCTTCCAGGGCGCAGGGGAGGAAGGGTCTGGGAGGCTGTGGACATCGATGCTCCTTTTTCCCCCCCGTGGCCGATGCCGTGCCCTGATGGCGCGGGCCTGTCATCAGGAACGTGTAGTCTCGATGCACGGGGTCTGTCGCCGATCCACCAGCGATGTGCGTATCGCCGATGCCAGGTATGCTGCCCTCCACTGAGCCGCCCCCCCTTTACTCGGCGGCGAGAGAGGGGTGCAGCGAGAAGGAGACGGCCTTCCCAGAAGGCGGCGGGACTTCTCAGAAGCCCTCGCGCCTTCTGACAAGCTTTCCGTGCCCTCGGTGAAGGCTTGGACAGTTGATCAGAAGGCCCTCCCGAGAAGGCTTTTCGAGGAGGCCTTCTGGGGGGGACTTCCGAGCCTTCCGAGACAGCCCTCTCCTTCTCACTTCCCCCCCCCCAGGCTCGCCGTGGACTCCTGCTTCTCCTCCTCATCCTCCTCCGCCTCCTCCTCCTTCCATCCTCCTCCTTTCCTCCACCTTTCCTCCTCCTCCTCCTTCTCCTCCTCCTCCTCCTCCTCCTTCTCCTTCTCCTCCTCCTCCTCCTCCTCCTCCTCCTCCTCCTCCTCCTCCCCTCCTCCTCCTCCTCCTCCTCCTCCCCCTCCTCCCCCCCATCTCCCTTTCCCGCGGCGATGCCCCCGACCCGTGGGCTCTCGGGGCGCAGAGGAGCGCCGCAGGGGGGCAGCGCCTCGCCTCGGCCCCCCCCCCCCCCCCCCCCCCCCGCAGAGTCCGCAGACGTCCGCGGGCGCGCGGCGGCGAGCGAGGCGAGGGGGAGGTGAGGAGGAGAAGGCCTCCTCAGAGTCGTGAGCGGCGCAGACGTGGACCAAGGGGGGGCGCAGACGGGCGACGGCCTTCTCCTCCTCACTTCTCCCCCCCCCAAGCCGCAGACGTCCGCAGGCGCGCGGCGGCGAGCGAGGGGGGGGAGGTGAGGAGTCAGGAGCGAAAGAAGGACGTACATGTACATGAATCCACGCTGGTTTCGAGAGTTCGCATTGCGCGAATGTTCGTATCGCGCGGCAGGTCTCGCGGGTCAAGGGGCCGTGTTCATGTACATAGCTGGGCGCGTACGTCCTTTGTGTGCTCCCTAAGGAGGAGAAGGCCTCATAATCGTGCGGTCGCAGACATGGATCAAGGGGGCGTAGATGGGCGGCGGCCTTCTTCTCACTCCCCCCCCCCAGTTCGCAGACGCGCGTCTCTCGACGGCGAGCGAGGGCAGGAAGTGAGAAGGAGAAGTGACAGGGCAGTTTTTGTTACCGGTTCCGTCTTGCCGTTCTCCTTGCCGATTCCGACGCTGTTTTGTTACCGGTTCTGTCGCCGTTTTTTCACCGGTTCCGGCTCCGGTTCCAATCCCGGAGCAGTTATTTTTGCTGTTTCCAGTCGCCGTTTTTGTTGCCGCTTCCATTTTCAAGAGGCATTTGTTTTGGAACGGTAAAAAACGGCCCTGCCATTTCAGGGGCGCACTAAGGTCTATTTAGGCCTCCTAAAAGGGGTCCGATGCATCGGCGATGCGGCTCGATGTGGCGCCCGATTTTCGCCACGCTGGCGTCACGGGTGCATCGCCGACGTCGCCGATGCATCGCTGATGCATCGGCGATGTATCGGCGATGCGGCGCGATGCTTCGACCCCATCTACTCGGACCCCATCGAGGAGGCCTCTAGAAGGCCTTCTCAGAAGACGGCGGGTCTTCTCAGAAGCCCTCGCGCCTTCTGAGAAGCTTTGTCTGTCTTCGGGGAAGGCTTCAGAAACTTCACAGGAGGCTGGGGGACTTCCGAACCTTCTGAGAAGGCCTTCTCCTTCTCACTTCCCCCCCTCGCTCGCCGCCAATTTTCATTCGAGCAACGCAAAAAGACGGGGTCGTCTGCGCTGACATTGGTGCGGAAGCTGTCCGCGTAAGGTCCCCAGGCCCCCTCGCGTTGTGAAAAAGCACGCCGGGAGTTGTTTCACTATTTTCGGCCTCCAGGGGACCCTCCACCGGGCCTCGGGACCGTCAGAAACGAAACGGCTCAGGATGAGAAACCGGTCCCATGGCCCAGGGAAGGGGTCCAGGCTTCTGGGGGTCGACGTGAAAAGATCACGACGTCTGGGGTCTGGGCTGCGCGTAAGCGTCCTCGTCGCCAATGTGGCGTGCCGCGCTGGCGGCCTGCGTAAGCCGCGGCGTCGCCTTGCCATCTCGCGCGAGACCCGTTCTTGATCGTCGCTCCCTTGCCGCACCGCTCGGAGTGGGCGGTGCGCTCGGAGGTCGGAGGTGAGCAGCCGACCGTCCTTCTCTTTTTTTAGGGCGAGGCGGGCACACCAGTGTCCCCCGCTCGGCGGCGAGCGGGGAGGGGGAGGCGAGAAGGAGAAGGCCCTCTCAGAGGGCGGCGGGACACCTCTGGAGTCCCTCTGGCCTTCCGCGAGACTTTCGGTGCCCTCGTGGCCCGGGGACCTCCGAGCGCTTGGGGGATTGTCCGAGCCTTCCGAGGAGGCCCGCCCTAATCTCGCTTCCCCCTGGACCCGCTGCCGATTTAGGGTCGAGGAGGGCCCATAAGTTTCCCCTGCCCGCTGCCGCGCACGAGAGCATGCTGGCGCATCCTGCCTCCCCTGCCGTGTCGCGGGCGCTCGGGGCTGTGGGGCTCTGTGGCCTGGCCTCGGGGCCGAGACTGGACTTCTGTCGGGCCTGTCCCCCTGCAGGGGGATTTTCGACGAAAAATACAAAATACCCCCAAAATGCCCCAAAAGGTCAAACATACTCAAAACATAGTCCCCCGACTATTTTTGCATCATTTGTTTGACTATTCCAGGGGTATTTTTTCGTCGAAAATCCCCCTGTAGGGGAACGGGCCCGACTTAACCTTGGGACGAGTAACAGCAATGGATTGGCACACCCCGCTGTGATGGGGAACATCCGTGTCAGGCTGGCCGAGATGTTCATGTCCCCAAGGGTTCTACAACGGGGGCGTAACTAACATGCCTGGCCGTCCTCGGCGAGTATGCAGTGATTTCCACCCTTCGCGGGGTCGAGCAGTCACCGCCCGTCCACCTGCAGCCCCATCACCGGGGCTGGAGTTCTAGTGGATAGGGACGCGTCCGAGAGCAACGGCATTGCAGGCATCGCCGAGGCAGTCCACACGCTGGGAGCTCAACTCCTACCATGGCAGGGCCAGCGGACTCTGTCGTGGTAGCGCGCTGGGGTTAGCATAAGCTTTCTCCTCGAGGGTTTCGTACAGACGGGAGCTGGTCCGGCTCGAAGCAAGCCGCCGAAGCCTTGACCGCGATCGCAGGCGTATCCAATTCTAGCCCCACCCGCAGCTGCGGTTGTGGCGCTTAGCCCCTGACCTTGGCCCCCGTCAGACTCCAAAACCCGCGCCCCATGCCGTCAGTCCGTATGTCAGCCTTGTGTCTGTGGATTGCTTTTTGACACATCTGTGTACGCGCGTGCTTGAGCACACTGTGCGCTCCCTTTCCGTGGCAGCACATCGTTTCTGCACTTCTGCTTCATGCCAGCACGGTCTCTGCATCGCGTGTGCTGGCACGGCGCACGAAGGTCTGATGCCGGCATCGCGTCTCAACACTGCACGCCTGCGCTTGGTATTCGCACCGTCCGGTGCTACTGTGTATCAGCAGGATGTCTCCGCACTCGTGCTCAGCCTTCGGCATCCTTGGGCACCTATCTCGCCTGTGCATACTAACTTCTACATCCTCTGATACTGGTATCACGCAGGATCAGCTCGACGGGATGCCAGCAGCTGGAAAGGCTCCGTGGACCTTATTTGCAGTGGCGATACTCTTCCAGGGCGTCCCCGACGCGATTGCCATTATGGTGCAGGTGGGAGATCGCGTCAATCACGACATCTTTGAGCACAATGCCTCGCGCACGAGTGCCCATACGCAGGCAACGCCGCCGCCCCACCATCTCAATTTCACCGGGTGCACGAGCTCATTTGACCAGGCAGGGTATCCTTGCACAGAGGCAATTGATGGGCAGTTTGACGATTCTACAAACGGTTGGGCATATTTTTCATACTTGCCAGCGTCGGTCGAGCTTACCCTGGATTCACCATCGTCGGTATCGTCACTGGTGTTGTATTCTGGTGTTGGGCGTGCCGATCATCATATTAACGACTTTGCCATAGTGGTAAAGGTGGGAGGTGGATATCAGCCGATTTCTGGTTTAGCATTTGCCGGATTTGTTGGAGCTGGTAATATTGATGGCAATACGGTGACGTGCTTCGGGCAGGAAGTGATATCCCTAACGTTTGATGCGGCCCACAATGTAACGGCAATAAAGATCGTCGTATTCGGGTCTGATGCGCCAAATGACAACGCTGTGTTATCAGAGGTGTTCGCCTACGCGCCAGAGATTCTTTCAGTACCGGTGGTCGCTGGAGATTTTGGCATTGTTGGTTGTCAGTCTCCGTTGATTGACATTGCGAGTTCGTACGATTGCGAAAGGGCAGCTAATTCAATGAGACGCCCCTGGATGGGTAATGTGTCTATTTCAGATATCACATTCGAAGGCTGCATTTTGAGCGATCCTGCAGCTGATTTGATCGATTGCGGCGGATGCGTCTGGTGGAAGACGAACCCTGCGTCGGATGGATCGTGGTGCGTCGGTGCCGGCATTATTTGCGACGGCGCATCGAATGTGAAGTATGGCCAGGTCTGTGTGGCACCAGTGCCAGCACCCACTCCCGCGGCGACGCCAGCAACGACCGCAGCACCAACACCATTGGCAACAGCGGCAGCAACGACCGCGGCACCAACACCCTTTGCAACAACGGCAGCGCCCACCAGCACCAGCAGCGGCCCGATGGTCTCCAGCGTCGGCGACCCGCACCTCGTGAACACCCACGGCCAGAAGTTCGACCTGCTTCAGGCTGGGCTTCAGTCGGGCATGTCCCTCTGCAGGAGGAACATTGAAAATAGTAAAACATTCGTCTGGGGACGAGTTTTTCTATGATTTATTATTGTTGATTATTTTTGACTTTTTGTTGAATCTATTTCATTCTAAAATCCGCCTGTGGAAGGACATGCCCGACCTAAGGCTGGGCGCCATACATTGATCAACATCCCCAGGTGGGCGCGGAAGCGGGCCAACTTCCGCGTGCAGGCAAGGGCGAGTCGTATTGGGGCTGGGTGCTCAGAGGAGGCAAAGGTATATACCTAAACTCTTCGCCCGTTTCCTTCTCCCTGGGCCCGCCACCACTGGATTCGCTTCGAAATCTTGGTCAGGGGAATAGCGGTATCGCTACCTCTTGGTTCCCCCAGGTGCGCAGACATCTATGTTACGGAGATAAACATCAGCGGTTCGTGGGCTCAGCGTCACCGGGCAGCGGACCTACGTTGGGTCGCCGAGGCCGTGAGGCCTGGTAAGGCCAAGTGGATGAAGTTCTACAACACAATCAGCGTCAAGATTGTACATGGCTATACCGTCCAGAACGCGAAATACTTGAACATTTTCGTGAAGGGGCTGGAGAAGACAAAGGCCCAGGTGGGCGGCCTCCTCGGGGAGGACGACCACACGGTGGCCACCACCCCAGACAGAGGGTGCAAGAAGCGCATGACTATGTGAGTCGGGCGGACAACTCGCGCGCAAATCTTTTGGTCCGATGTCCGGCACCTCCCTCCATTCGCCCCGGCCCTCCATCTAAAACAGGGCTAGGATCGGGATAAATCGCTCCAGAGCGTTCCGGAGCGCTCTCAGAGCGTTCCGGAACGCTCTGGAGCGGCCGCGGCGCCCAATACATCCTCCAAACCCGCCGATTCTCAGAGGTTTCGAGTTATCCCGATCCGATTTTGTCCCGATCTGCGCGTCGTTTTACCATCTGTTCTGTCAAGATGCTGAGGAGGAGGGGGCGAGGCAGCTCTTCTCTCTCCCCCTCTGTGGGGCCCGGGCGGAGCAGCGACACCCGAGGATGGAACCTCACTACCTTGTGCCGTGTCTTTGAACAGGCCAGGCTGCTCTTTTTTTTAATGCCGCGCGCAAGTAAGGAGGAGGAGGAGGAGGAGGAGGAGGAGGAGGAGGAGGGAGATAACGACGGGAGGGAGGAGGAGGAGGAGGGGAGGAGGAGGAGGAGGAGGAGAGGAGGAGGGGAACAAGAGTAGGAGGAGGGGGAGGAGGAGGAGGAGGAGGAGGAGGAGGAGGAGGAGGAGGAGGAGGGAGGAGGGGGAACAAGAGGAGGAGGGGGGAACAAGAGGAGGAGGAGGAGGAGGAGGAGGAGGAGGAGGAGGAGGAGGTGGAGGAGGAGGAGGGTAATTAGGGCGAGGAGGAGAAGGAGGAGGAGGGGGAATAAGACAAGCTAGGTGTGCTCACGTCATATCTGACGTTCTACGCCTCTCTCCCATCCTTTACCATGGCGTAGGTATCCTCTCTATTCGCACACTCGGATGCCGAGCAGGGCAATGATCGCGAGAGGGTACGCGATGCATGGTAGAGCACGGCATGGCATGACGTCGAAGAGCACGGCACAGCGTAGCATGCCACAGCATGGCGTGGTATTGCGCAGCGAAGCATTGCATCACAAATCATTGCAACGCAAAGCATGGCGTCGCACAGCGGCGCAGAACACAACGCCGCACAGCATGCCATGGCATGGCGCCCGGTTCCTTGGAGGGTAAGTGGATCGTCTTCGAGAGTTCTGGGCGTGTGGAGTCGTGGCATCATGACTAGCTCCCTGGGCTCCCCGAGTAGCTCCACACAAGGCAGGGCTGATGGAGAGCACCCGCTGGCTCTGCTTTCAACATCGCCCTCTCAGAGCAGAAACGGAGCTCCAGTTTAATACTTCCTGAAAACGACGACGCCCCAAAGTGGGGGGCTTCTGCCGCCCAAGAGATCAACGAATCGGTATCGACTGTGTAATCACTTCCGATGGTTTTTTCGGGGGGGGGGGGGGGCATTTTATACATTTTGTGTGTTTATTTTTTTGGGAAGGACCAAAGAAGCCTGCGCTGCAGCGGGCGCATGATTTGGCACAACCAGAGGCGCAGAAATGGGGCCAGCGCTACAGCGGGAGCAGCATTTCGAAACAAAAACCTGAGAGAAAGCCCAGTTCCCCGGAATCCTGTGCGCCAAAAAAAACGGTACGCGGAGGGGGGTCGGACCATTTTCCAGACGTCATCAGGGGTTGGATGAAAGTCTGGGGCCCCCAAACGGTGTGGTGACCACACCGTGCGGTGAGTCGATGGGGACTCGGGGTCACCGCACGGTTTTGGGACTCGAGTCCCTCTCCGAGGATGTCTCGGGCGACAGCGGCCTTCAGGGTCCCAAGACCGTGCACAAGACCGTGCGGTGACGGACCGGGCGGTGATGTCTTGGGCGGTCTTGAGGTCACCGCACGGTCTTCCAACTGTTTCGGGACTCCCAAGTAGTATCCACATTGTGTGAGTCGGTAGAGGGAAACAACTACTGAACACCCCCCCTCCCCCCCAACCTCAATGTTGGCACGCGCGGGGGAGACTGCGGTCGAAGTGCATCTCGTCAGACCCACCGCCAACTTTGAACATCGGGGGGGGGAGCCGTTGACAGAGGAACGTGGCGTCATGAGTGTTCGCTAATTTGTTTCGAGGCCCGTGGGCATGTTGCCCGGCACGTGGCTGCCCTCGAACTGACTGGGGCGCAAAAATTAAAGGACGAGGTGCACGGGAAAAAATGTTCGAGGGGAGGACCGGGGAGGAGTCGTCTCAACCACTGCGAAAATCAAACCGTCCACCGTGGACTTACCCCGGACTGAGGCAGACAGACTGTGTGGGTGTGGGGGAGGGGGTGCCCCCGTCAGGCCTGCCCGTGGCGGGCTCCGGAGGCTCGCCGAGGCGCTCGCAGGCCGTCGGTCCTTCGGCGTCGCTCGTGCAGCGGAGCCCGGCGCGGGGGGCCGCGGCCCCAGGGGCAGGTCGGGCATGTCCTCTGACAGGCGAGTTTTGGACGACAAGTTTCACATACCCCAGAGATGCCCCAAAAGTAACAGAACAAATGCGAGAAGATCGTCCCCAGACAAGTTTTTTTTTTTTTTTTTTAGTTTTGAGCATTCTTCCTGCAGAGGGCGTGGCCCGACTTAGCCCCAGGGGCTGGCGGAGTGCGCTCGAAGGAGTTGGAGAGGGGAGAGGGGAGGAGGAAGAGCAGCAGCATCAGCCTGCTCTCCGTGTCAGATCGCGCATACAGTTCGTGCCAGACTGAGGTCCAGCCCACCACTGCCAGCCTATTTTATGATGCGGTGTTGGTCGCCAGCATCTCTGTATCGTGCGTGTGCATGCTTGTATGCCAGTGGTGCCATTCTGGCCCCACTCTCCTCCGCGCACGGCCAGTGCGACAGTCATCCTTGTGTGCGTCCTGGTGGCTAGCGAGCTCGACGATGAGCTACTGATCCGTTTGCCCTCATGGGTGGAAAAGTGTTCGTCTTGTCCAGTATCATCTCTGCTTGAATATTCGCTGCTGTGCCATCAGCAGCAAGGAAGCGGACCAGCAAATAGAAGGAACATGACGATGCGGAGGAGGAGAAGGACGAGGACCAGTGTAAACCCAAGACTCATCAACGCTGTTGGAATATGCCCTCCCTCTAAGCTCCCTCTTCATAGGGCTTTACAAGGGGCCGTGTCCACGGACGGAAGTGCGCGTTGGGAGATATCCGCTTGAAGTTCCTGAAGCGTGCCAAGTCACCGTTCTTATGATTTCAGCGTCGAGAGCCAACCTGTTTGCTACGTCTTGACGATCCTGAATCGTGCCAGAAAGCAATTCCTGCGACTTCAACGGCACGAACCAACCCAACTGTTGCGCCCTGAGAATTCTGAATCACCTCAACACAGCATCTTTGAATTGCACTACAACGAATGTGCGCGGCGCACATGGAGGAGGCATGTGGATGAGGACGATAATGATGATGGCGAGCATGAGTAAGATGGTGACGATGATGACGATGATGACGATGATGACGATGATGCTGATGATGATGATGATGATGATGATGATGATGGTGCTGCTGGTGATGGTGATGGTCATGGGGATGAGGATGAGGATGAAAGTGAGGATGAGGATGATGATGATGATGCTGGTGATGGTGATGATAATGAGGATGATGATGGTGATGCTGATGATGATAATGCGGAGGAGGACGATTCTGTTGCTGATGATGGTGATGCTGAGGATCTTGATGATGGATGCCGAATGACGGTGCGGTATGGTTCTCGCGAGGGTGAAGATGTTGATTTGACCATGGGTTCCAATTATATTGGGCAGTGATGGCGATGAGGATGGTTAGGTTGATTATCGCCATGCTAATGATGATGTTGATCGCTACCATGACTATGACGTTGACGATCATGATGGAGAGCATGCTGATTGTGATGGAGGTGACGGTGATGATGACGATGATGAACATGATGAGGACGGTAAGGGTTATGATATTGCTGCTGCTGCTGATGCTGATGTTGATGTTGATGACGATGATAATGATGATGATGATGATGATGATGATGATGATGATGATGATGATGATGATGATGATGATGATGATGATGATGATGATGATCATGATGATCATGCTGATCATGATGACCATGCTAATGATACTGATGATGGTGATTAACATGCTGCTGCTGATGATGAATCTGGCTATGATGATTATGTTGATGATGAAGCTGATCATGATCATGATCATGATGATGACGACGATGGTGATGCTGCTGATAATGATGATGATGATAAGAGGGGGAGACGGACGATGAGGAGGAGGAGGAAAACTACCACTTTGATGCGTCAGGGGGAATGACACATGAGGATACACACTATATGGGAACATAACTAGAAAGAGACACCAACATAAGGAGACGATGGATGAGGGAGGCGGGGGATAATAATCATGGTACGTGGCACAAGGCGTCCGAGAAGGATCATGGCGGAGGAGGAGGAGTAGCAGTTGCAAGGAGGATGGTGAGTTGGAGGAGTGAGAACAATCGCGGAGCGATCCTAGCAAACAAATGAGCTCATAGACAGCCATGCTAAGGTCAGGGGGTGATCAACACCATGTACCCGCGGTTGCTGCTCGTCATGTATATGATTGCCGTTGAATTGAACACTGCCCTGGAAACCACCACGCCCCCAACCGCCACGATCACGATGCCGACAAGCACGAAGAGCAGGAAGATGCACCAGTTCCTCGAACGCCCCTTCACCAATATTGCACAGCACTCCAAAGAAGTACAATTGCTCAGGTTCCTCAGAAGATTCTTCACTATTGCACACCACTCCAGACACCCCAAAATACGCCTGCCTTGCGCTGGCCAGGCTCAGCCAATACAGAAACTGAAACTGTTATAAAACAGAGGACGTCTGTCTTGCGCTGAGCACGCTCAGCCAAAACCCCCGCGGGTTGCCGAACAAGGAGTAGACGAACTCCGTGACATGCACCGTGATGGGAGAGCGGAGAAGACAGCTAAAGCACCATGACAGCAACAGCATACAACATTGACCACCATATGCACTGTGAGGCCCCGCAGACCGGGGAAGATGAATCCCACGGACGTCCACGAACGCCAGACCAATGCAGCAGGATGAAATTGAACCTGACTCAGACACGTTTGCCC